CGGCCGGGCCAGGCCGAGGTCTCCCCTCCCCGCCGCCGGAGCCGCTTCCCTCGGCGGGCTCCAGCGCCGAGCCTGCTTATTTGGCAGTGTCTCAAGTTACTCCCCTCAGGCAGCTTGAGCCAGTAAAACTAGATCCTTTCATCTCGGCGGAGCTTACTGACAACCAGCCGTCTGGTTTCCTAGGAAACAAAATCTTGGCTAGAAATAGTGAATCATTTCCAGGTCACTTTCAACATGGAGAGTGGAGCAGGGAAGCATTGGACTGAGGAGGAGGTTAAAGCCTTGTTAAGCGTCTGGTCAGAAAAAAATATCAGAAAGCAACTGCACGGCACCCTGAGGAATAAAGGAATATTTATCTACATTGCTAAAAGGTTACAGGAGTTGGGAGTGTGCAGGGACTGGAAACAGTGCCGTGCAAAGTACAAAAACCTGAAGTACGAATACAGAACGGTTAAATATGCCCACAACTCTGGGGATGTCACTAAAACCATGAAGTTTTTCCATGATCTGGATGCCATATTGCGATATGAGCCTGTCACACAATTAGCAGCAGAAGAAAACGGCAGGTGTTCTGCGACTGAGACGCAGCTGAACACAAGCCCCACAACAGACAGCACGCAAGGTAAAAAAAAATATTTTTGCTTCTATTTTTCTCTCTTTGCTTAAAACCCAAAGGGAACAAAACCTTAGCCCGACTCGGCTGGCGCTGGAGCGGAGGCTGCTCAGCCCCGGCAGCGCTGTTAGAAGTGACTGGATGCACGCCTCGCGCAGGGGAATAAAATGTTAGCACCCACCAGTGTCGAAGTCTGTAAATACAGCGTAATTCCAGCAAAATTATGCTAACTGCCTGTATTGCAGCCTCGGTGAGTACTTGCTAGTGTCCAGGCTCCTGCACTGCGTGGAAATGCTAAATTAAAATAAGCTGCTTTCTTTCCCTTTGCCTTTCATTTGCAGTACTTCGGAAGCAGATTTTGTAGAGCTCCAATTCAGATGTAAACGTAATGAAAAAGAAAAGGCTGAAAGTGTCAGGGTGGTGTAAAAATCGTTATTTGTTCTGATTCAAGTGAAATTTAGGATTTTTATTCTTATTTCTCATATATATATCAGCTTGATATTTAGGTGTGATGACTTATGGTATAATACTTTATAAGCAGTTTCATTTAATATTCCAGAAACAGATACTTAATAATCTCTCATTAAAAACTCTAGTTTAGCAGTGAAAGTAAAAATTATCGTATTTATCAGACTATTTTGCGGCAAACCAAATGAATACAGCTGTCTTTATTCTGAAGTGAGTTTTACTAAATTATTTGAATCTCTTCTTTTATTTGACCTTCTCTACATATGCATTTAAGCTCTGCTTAACGTTTCATTAGGGTCAATCTGCTGTTTGACATCACTCAAATCTCCTTGTCACGTCCTAAATGTCACTGAAGCATAAGCCCCAGTAACAGTTACAGGTACCAAAATAAGATGACTAAAAAGAGAAATTAAAAGCTTAATTTGTTTCCATGGTATGTAGCAATTTACATTAATTAAGATTGTGAATCTTTTTTAAGAAAACAAGAAACAACGTTATTGCCAGGGGATATTGTCAAAGGCATAGAAAGGAGCCGGACATCGAGCTTGTCCTTGTAGCATTCCATGTCTCCCTCTACAGTGCTGTTTTACAGATTTGAGGAAAAGAAATTGCCGTTTTTCATTGTCATTGTTTACCTTAACAAAAAGCTTGACCTTAATTTGTCATCACTATCAGAAAGCCTCTAATCTGTCAAAGTCACTTCAAATTAAAATAGCATTTTTAAAATACTGTAATGTGCTCTCTGCATTGTGAATGGCAATCCATTTTTATTTTTAAACTTGCAGAACTGAGGTTAATACAAGCTGAAACACTTTGAGGACTACGTGAAATAAAGATAGTGTCCTACATCTGAGGATCTGCCATTAGATTATCCTCTGTGTTTTGATGTAGTTTGCACCTGGTAATCCTAATTCTCATCTGCTTTAGACCTCTAGCAAATTTAAATCAGCAAAAGTTAATTTCAATTGTGAATCCCAAACTATAGTATCTATAAAAATAATTACTCCTAGGTGAGACATGCCTTGTTTTGAAGCACTAGGACAGTCTGGTTTTAAAGGTGGTATAATTAAATACATCTCTTGATTGCACAAGCACTTCTGTTACTCACTCAAGAAAAATAAATGCAAACAGGTTTTATGGATAAACAAAAATTAAATGCAGCTAACTGTAATAATGCAACACTAATGCAAAAACTGAAATGCAAAGATTTTCACAACAACCACAGCTGAGCTGTAATGAACACACACTAAGACAGAAATGTGTTTTGCAGCTATGCAGAATGCATGCCTACATTCACAACAAGGGGCTGAGGGAGCAGCTGTGAGATCATCACCTTTCTTATTTAAGAATGCAAGTCAAGCAACTAACACTGTACTAGAGGCCCAATCCTATTCCACCTGCAGTCAGAGTACGATGCCTGCCCAGCCCAGTACTTTGAAGAGCACTTTTAAGGCAAAACTGACATCAGCTGCAGAGCCGCTGATGCTCTCAAGTCCTTTTGCAGGCACAGAGCTGCCCAGAGTGGTGGTGTTGCTCCCAGAGGGAAAGGTGATTCCCAGCAGCACAGGCAAAGGCAGCCCCCTACTCCTGCCCCAGCAGCAACTGCAGGCCCCTCATGGCCTTTGCCCTTTCAACCAGCGTGTTATAAAAGAGTAGAGAAAAATGGTCCCTCACCTCTTTTAGAAGAGGCAGAGACATCTCATTTTGAGGGGGCTGGAGGAATCAAGGATGTCTAAGCAAACATTTGGTAGCTATACTGATTTGTTTTCCTAAGAAGCGTGACAGGGGACAGGGCATGTTCCTAAATAATTCACCATATATTTACCATTCTGCTTAGTGTCAGTCTCAACATTCCTACACATGCTTAATGTAAAGATGAAAAGCATGTCTTTACATCATCTCAGCTACTGCGAGATTGCTGGGGAGGGGGAGCAACAGGAAGGGAAGAAAAGAGACTACTTTTTTTAATAGGACTGAATGGTATTTCAATAGTGTTCCCCTGATGATTTTTCATATGAGGTAGAATCAGGTTTCTTTTGAAAGTGTATTTGAAGAAATTATTACTGAAAATATCAGTCAAATCTGAGGAGTGTCTCAGAACAAACCTCGTAGCAAAACATACCAGTTCCCAGCTTGTTCATGGAAAGATACCACCTTATGCATAAGCACATGCAGAAATGTAAACAGAGAGGTTCATGCTGTCCTCCCAAAACATGTTTCACAGGCAGAGATGTAGCTTAAGTAATCTTTTAAAAAGATACAAGCCAACAAGTTCACTTCTCTTCAAGTAGTTTGTGTATTATCACACTAATTAAAACCCAAGAAAATCTATGTAAAGTGGTGTGCTATGAAAAATGGTATCTTTCATTATAGTTCAAATGAATGACCTTCCATTTTGTTAATCAAGTTAAATCAAGTATCAATAAACTACATTATTTACAAAATACTGGCCTAGTAATTGAAGTTATTTACACTTTTTATATTTCTTTATGTTTAAATATTAAGACACAGATCACCTTGCTTGACCTTCAGTTTACATCAGCAAATGCAGAAAGATTATCGCTGAGCAGAAATATATCAGCAATGACTGGCAGAAAACTCAGCTACTAAAATGCAGGAAGATCCTTCAGAAATGCTAACATAAAAGTGCCACTTACACATGGTTTTCCACGTCTGCACTTTCAACATGTCATTGACAGTATTTTATACAGTGTTTTTTGAACAAGTGTGCAATGCTTTTATTGAGTAGCTTATCTGGTACAGTAGTATCTTTTTGTGGTAACTGTTCTTAGTTACTAAAAATAGAAGGAATTTCTCTTTTAATATAACAATGGAATTAACCTTTCTCATGCTAGTGCCTATGGCACACTCAGAAGCCTTCCAGCAGAGATTTTATTCTCCTCTCTCTGGTTTGCTTTGCTGTTCTTAAGCAGCTGAAACACCAGTCCTGTCACTGGAGGTGGAGGCATGAGCAGCAGCTCCTGCCAGGGAAGCCAGGCAGACAGCTGGGAGCAGTCAGAGATCAGGCCACTGCATCTATGAGTCATCATGAGCCTTGCTGAAAGTCAGGAGGATTTAGGATAATGTTTTCAAATGCAGTTTTCAGTTTCACCGACGTCAGGGGTAGGAGGTTGCATCCTAGCCGCACCTCATTACTGCTCCCCGTGACGGACTACCGCAGAGCTGCGAGCTTTCATCTGCGCGCCCTGCCTGGCTGGAGCTCACAGAAGCTCAGCTCCCATACAAGGAATCAACGTTTCAAACCTCCTGTCAACATGGTGTGTTGAAAACAGCACACTACCACAGGACAACTTTCAAGTCTGTAGTCCGTGAAAATTTAGCTGGTTCTGAACCTGACGTACATATGCTGTTTTTAAAACTTACATAGCAATTGCTATAATGTTGCTTTTTAAATAAATGTAGAAAAGCTATGCTGGAAAAAGCTAGACTTAATCCTGTCAGCTACAAACATGTCTGCTGTCAAGTCACAATGAATATTTTGGTTCCCTCCCCATACCATTAATGAATTCCACTGCTTTCCAGAGCTCTTTGCCGAACATCCTTGTTTTCTTCATACTCTTCTAGGATTTTATTTTTATTACATAAATGGATTTTTGATTTTGTGAATCTGTGTGCAAAGTCTGCCTTTATTTGTATGTCTCTTACTTTACATTATCTACTTTACCCTGAATACTGAGTCAGAAGAACATACAAGTCACTAGAATCAAGTCAGTTTCAACCAGAATTTTAAAAAGCATTTAAAACAGGCTTCATATACAAAACATAAAATGATTTGCCTCCTATAACTCATATCCCCCTTATGATTTAATTTAACTACAAATAAAATGGCGAGATTTCCAAGTTAAAGATCTTCTCATGGTGTATGGACACTTGAATTTAAACTAATTTAAGCTAATTTAGTCCATACCTATTTTTTCATCTAAAAACTCTTTCCTTCCCAGGTGAGATACCAGTTTCTTTAGAAGATGAGGAGGATGCTCCAGGAGATCCACTACTTTTTATATCTCATGCCAGACCAGTTCAACTAGGTATAGTATGATGGAACAGAGAGATCAAAAGCTTAAAAGCAGCATGGGTGTCAGAGCACTTCCTGACAGCTTGAAAACACTGTCATTCTGTTTCTGATCAGCGTAGCTTTAATACAGCCACACTCCTGCACCACCTCCTTGCCAGTGTTAGCACTCAGCGGTGCTGTGCATCACTAGACACTGACCACTGTATGTGATTTAACAACCTGCATGACCCCCATTCTCATGCAAAACACATCCCATGCTATAGCTTAATCATGTTAACTGCATTAACCACAGTAATTTTGTTAAATGCCAGTGGAAAGTATGCCAAAGTATGCCAAAAGCTAGTGTGGATACCCATGTCAGCTTGTGGCTTTTCCCTAGTTCATTTTCTTAAATCATGGATGCTTAAAGGAGCATGAGTGAGTGGTCTGAGCCAGAAGAGAGATGCAGAGCTATCCAGACTTGCAGTGGTATCCAGCATAACTTCAAAGTCACCTCTCCAAGCAAGGAGTGGTCAGCAATGCTTTAGTCCAACCAACTCATTTGGAAAATGTCCTACTTTAGTAGTTTTGCTCAGCAAAATTACAAAGCAAAGGCACAAATCTGGCAAGACAGAAAGAGGAACAGCATCCTAGGTGTGAGCCCCTTCAAGGGACAGCTAAAGGAAATGGAGAAACACAAACACATTTTAGGCAGATTTATACTTATTTTTTGCCTGGATTAACAGCAGCTGTCCTGAATCTCCTACATGCTCTATTTTTTATATACCCCCTTTGCCTTAGTATACATTCCAGTCCAGTTACAACAACTTTCATTACAAAATCTGCAAGGTGCCATATTCAGGAAGAAAACAAGCCACCGGCTAAGTCTATGGCTATTATGTTACAATTTATATCCCTCTTGCCTGCAATAGAAAGAAATTAAGGAAGAGAAATGAATGTCACATGGAATTTATGCACATATAAAATACTTCATGCACATAAACAAAACAAGCAGTAAGTATCTGAATCAGATTTTATAAAAACATATTTTTATTTGCCAGTGCTCAACACACTGCCAAGCAGAAAAGTCTTCAATTCTGAGGAAGCTGCTTTCTACAAAGTTAGCAAAATAACTTCAATTGCATGGGCTTTCAAGTACATACTAGTACTAAAATGCCCTCCCCATAAATGCATCTTTCAGATAAAAAAAAAAAAAAGTATATTCTGCTTAAACATTTTTGTAAAACAAATTAGGACCAAAATGAATTTAAGATATATGGAAAATTTTTGCACTGACCATAACAACTTTGTTTCAAAGTGGTACTTGTAGGCAGGATATTTTGAATTAGCATGTTTTTTTAAAGGGAATAAGGAACAAACGAACCCACCATTTTCCACTCTGCACAGAGCAGAATAAGCGAGCAATATACTGAGTCACCAGAACTCATTTGAACTAATATCCACAACCAGAAGTGAGCTCAGCTGGGAATGAACTAACTGACTAGTGAGAAATACTGGTTTATACAAAAAGTAAAGAAACTTCATTCCTCCCAGATGCCCCCCATGCTCTATGGCTTTGACTAGGAAGTGTAGAGAGCACTTCCTTGCACTCTTCATCCTCTTTTCTTGTCGTCTTCCCTAGGCCTTTCCTCTCTGGCCTATCTGATGTTGGCAGTTACCATCTGTGGCAGTTCCTATGGTTTGATTCACCAGTAAATCAGCATTTTCTTTCACTTCCTCAGGAAGAAATGGAGAAAGCATAATTGATGTGGCACCTGAAAAATATCCTTCTCAACTACACTGGCTATGAGCTGGCTGCTGCAGAGCCCTGATTAACCCAGGACTATAAGGAAAAAAAAAATTGTATCTGTTAGAACAATTTATTGACAGCTAGAATGAATTATGGAGACTAGCAAAAGAATGGCTTTATCTAGGACAAGTTTGATCCTGGACAGGTTATTATAAATATGCCCCACTGAAGCTCTGTGCACAATCGAGGGTCTGATACTATTGCCACCATTCACACCTTATTGGCTATACAGTATCGAACCCCCACAATTTAGTTTGCTCTTCAGTAAAAGACACTGACAAGGGCATTTATCACTGTAGTATGACTGTAAAAACCTGTCAGTTACTCTGCATTTTCCTGCTGCTTTATTTGATCATGCCCTGGAATTGTTTTTAGGTTTGTTTGTTTGGGTTTTTTTAGTTATTTTTGCACAGCTTTAGAAAATGCATGAGAAATGACTTTACAAACTAATCTGATAAAACGAAGTCTTATCATACAAAGCAAATGCATAAATAGCAACAAGGAAACATTAAAAAACTAAAATATATAGCATTTCAGAGTTTTAAGTTATTGCATGGGTGGCAACCTTTACCTCATAATGTTAAAAAATTAAGTTGTAGACGGTAGAAAATGAAAAAAGGATCTTAGTTTTGCAGAGTAAGACAACTCACACTGATTTTCACTAAAAAATGCCAAATATTTTTGATTGATCTGCCCTGAGAAAGGTGCAGGTTCTGTGTCATAAGAACTGAGTCCTATCACACAAATGTTTGACTTAAGCAAACGTCTCCATTCCTCTGCTCCCTAGAACTGAGCTGCTTTGTTAAGAAAAAGAAGGATCAGATCCTTACTCAGGTTAAATCTCTCCATGTGTGTAAAAACTAAAGTATGGCATGAATGCAAAAAGTTAAGCCTTGATGCTAGTGTCAGTGACTCAGGGCCAATTTATTATTGTGCTCATGCAGTACATCCCATCTTCCCAACAGTACTCTTCTCCTCTGTAGTGTCTGAAGGACAAAGAAGCTCATCAGTTGTTCCCAAAGGTGTTACAGGTAAAAATTCTGTGTATTAGGACACAGAAGAAAGAAATATTCCTCTTAGATTAATTAAATGTACATGTGCTATCTTACTGTCTTCAAGTGAAAGCAAAAATCATATCAGAATTAACAAAATTGCTGACAAATTTATAACCAATAGCTTGATTTTAATGTCACTTCTGCTCCATCTTTCTCCGGGGAAACAGTGTCCTTCATTCCCATTCTCTCTATCCTTTCCCAACCCCAACCACCCAATACAGGTAACAAATATCTGTGTCTCTCCCCTACCCCACACAATGCAGGTAATCCAGCGTCAGCAGTAGAGGCTTCCAAACCACCGGCTTTTATTCCTACAGTAGCAAATGAAGGAGGAAAACACTGGACTGTTAATGAAGTCAGAGCTTTGATACACATATGGTCAGACAAAAATATCCAGCAACAACTAGAGGGGACAGTGAGAAATAAAAGAATATTTGAACAGGTTGCTGCTAGACTTCAAAAGTTTGGAATTGACAGGGACTGGAAACAGTGCAGGACAAAATACAAAAATCTGAAACATGAGTACAAAAGTATAAAAAGTGCCCAAGACTCAGGGAGTACAAGTAAAAGTATGAAATTTTTTAATGAACTGGATGCTATTCTGGGGCACTGCACCATGGAACAAGCAAGTAAATCAGATAATGATGAAAGTGAGAGGCCTTCAGAATGGACAGAAGCAAAATCAGAAAAGGATTCTTTAGGTAAGTACTTCAACTACCCACATATGATTTAATTTTTTTAGTTTTCCAGTACTAGAGAGACCTTAAAAAACTCAAAAAGCACAATCAGAGAAATTAATCAATTGGCTGGGGTGGAAAAACTCTGAATGGAAATTTATTACTTATCCAGTGGTTTTATATTTTGTTATAAGGTATTATTATTTCAGATTGAGTGATTGCCCTGCACTTTTTTAACAGAACTGGGAAGCAAAAGGAGGAAAAAAAGATGAAGACATAGGATAAGATGATACAGAAAGACAATTCCAGGCAAAATCACATCAGGAGAGACTGTTTCCAGTTTAGATAACAGAAATGGATCAGAGAGATACTCAGACTGTGTTACTGGAAAAATTAAGATATTGAGCAAAAGAAATCTGCAGTAACAGACATTGGTTAAAAAAGTTAAGATCTGAATTATCTTTCTCTTATGGTCCCAAATAGCTGAGTTTGATTGGCCTTTGGAGCAAGATTCCCAAACTGGTGACACAACATAGCAAAATGTGGCAAAATAGCAAAAGAAATAGCAGTAAGAATGATGACAGAGGCTTGCCTTTGGTTTTGGGTGGTTACTGACAATAAAGGGTAATGGATGATCAATGCAGAATTAGAGTAGACTGATGAACTTATACTACCCAAGAGTTAAAGCATTTCTATTGGTATGTACAACCAGAAACATGCTTGTTAAGAACAGAATTAAACATTAAAGTTTTAGTTGAGGGGATGATACTATGTTGGCCAAATGTAAGACTAGAGGTTAGTAAAGTATGGGAGAAGTTGAAAATATTACATGAAGACAGTCTGGCTGAAAAGTATGAGAACATTTTTGGGGAAGATTTGCTCTTCCGTTGCCATTTCTAGACATTTTGATAATGCATCTACTTTGCCTGATGGCATAAAAAGCATCTGAGGCTGGATGGACTTTTTAATTTGATATATCACAAATGTTCTTATAAAGTATAAAAATACAGTGCCCTAATTAATTTAGCATTATTTACACAGAAATGCCTGGAGACACAGGTGAAGAGGACTCTGTTAGTAATATGTCAGAAGACCTACAGGTTGCAGATACAAAGAAAGTTTCTGATTCAGGTAATCTGAAATGTCTTCTATTTTATACAAATACCTAAATTTATTGAATTGAAATTAGTTTCTAAAATAAGCCCAAATTGTAATTTGTATAAAATCCAGAAACCTAGAAAACTTAAAAGCAAGAGATGATGTCATCACATACTTATGTAGACATTTACAATGTCCTGCTAAATTTGATAAAATCATTCCAGTAAGTAATCATTCCAAAGACTTGTGATGCAAAATGTAGAGAAGAGACTACTAGTTTAATCAAGTTGAGTGCAGTGTCCTGCTGCATTTACATTTACTTAAACTATGTATTCCCAAGGATTAGAATTGTTCAGTCTCCTGTACATGAACGAATAGAACATCTCTTTTTCACAATATGTGATCAGGATGTAATTGTGTAAATGCTCATGTCAGAGGATGAAAACTTCATTTAAGAGTCTCACTGAATATGAAGGTCATATGCTCTGCTCTTTACAAAGAAAGATTATGGTTTACATCTGAAAACATAAATTTCAGAGGAAGAGAAGTTTAGCATTCAGTTAAAGACACGTGGAAGTCTCTTCAGGCTGACAGGTGTTATTGTCCACAATAGAGCACCTCATGTTCTCTTTCAGTAGTGTGAGGCAGAACATGGTCTAAATTAAGCATTAAGGAGTAGTCTTACAGAATTTAAAATGGTCTAATGTGAAAAGATTTTAATATCAAATTAAAAATCTTCTGACAGATGATGCTATTGTAAATACTACTCCAGAGAATCGGGCAGCTCTGCATATAACGAAAGAAACAGCTATGACAAGTAAGTAAAAAGATGGTTGATCATAAGAGGTAATTTAAGATTTATCAGATAGTAACATTTATGGTTTTTTCATTCAATAGAAATTACATTAATAAATTTAAGTTTACTAAGAAATAAAAAAAAAAGTGACCATGGCCACATGACGCATTTCATGGAGAAAAAGAGGTTGTTGTGAAAAGTGCATTGCCTGTAGAGACCTCATTTTCAGAGAGACAGCTATGAAAGAAATAAACAGCATTTTATGGGATCCAGTTAAGACTGCTTAAAAAAAGCATTAAATTCCATTTCTCTCTATCAACAAGTAATATTACTACATACACGTGGACAGTAGTAAGACACTATGTAATACAAAGATTCAGCAGTGCTCCTTAACTGTCATCCGACAGTTTTCAACCACCTGGTGCTACATAATATTGTAACTTCTTGGACTGCACTTTTCCAAACAAGATATTTAAGGTGAAGTTAAATGAATATTTCAGTAAAGTTCTGAGTACACACTTTTGTCATTTAAGATAAGTGTAGGTGTAAAAATATCTGTAGTTTACCTTGGTTACCAACTCCCTTTTCAAATATGTGCATTTTAACTGCATAGTTTGTTTATTTCTGGGTAATTGTAAATGCCATGTGATTTTGCGGGGAAAAATGAAAATAACAAGTGGTTCAAAAGTGTCTGTGGCTCAGCCTATCCACTCTTAAGACTATTTTTCAAATTTCTGTGGGGGAAAAAGGCAAAACCACACTCCAAGGCAAAACCAACAAATAAGTTCAGTTTGCAAAATTCTTTTCCTCATTCCAAAACAAACAATACACACTCAAATAAATGTTTTTCAGGTGGTAGAAGACACACAGTCTTTAATTTTTTTAATGGTGATATAATTAGGTATCGCATAAAGCAGATAAAAGATGCACACTTTTTATGTTACAATAACATGGAGACCCTTTCTTCTCTAATTGTGGTACATGAGTTTCCCAGACAGTCCAAATAATTTTGAAGAGAGCAACAGGTAAGTAAAGAGACTGTAGGTACCTCTGTACTCATACACACTGATAAATAGTGAAAAAGGCAAACAGGCAGTGATACATTACATTGGTTGTTTGATACGAGTAATGTCTCAATCACTGGTATTTAGGATGTGACTTATTGTAAAAGCTCCTGCATGTTCAACAGAACTTTTGTATAAAAGTGTTTCTCAACAGCATGGAATTATTAAATTTATAGGTATTTATGTGTCTTGAAAAAAAAATTGTAGAAACCCCCAATTCAACATAGACGAGAATTTAGAAATTCTGTTAAACTCTTATCTGGGTATCTTCCTTATCAGTACATGCAGTTAATGTAATCTGCAGCCAGAGCTGTATATATACACACATATATATGAGTTAGCCTAGGCAGGCATTGCCTTCTGGAAACTGCAGCTGCATAAATACACAGAAGATGCATGAGCTGCTTCAGAGCGTGTGTTTCTCATGTTCTTACACCTGAATCTGAGTTATGAGCCACAGTAACAGTCACCACTGCCAGTCTTTTATAAACAGCCCATTTAGGTTTGCCATACTCAAGTAAGAAAAATACTAAAATAGGGTTAATCAAAGGACAAATACACCAGTTTCAGGAGAACACCTAGTTATGTGATGTGCCGTGATACTGTTTTTTATCTCTGCCCATATGAATTTGCTACTCAAAGAGCAGCAAATGCTCATCTGAGAAGGAGAGGACAAAGGTAAATAAATCCTCAGGGCTCCTTGCACAGCCTGTCCTAGTTCCTGACACATTGCTGTCAGCACTGCCCAGCTGGGGGAGCAGGAGAGCCACAACAGTCCCCAACTCGTGGGTTTGGCTGAAGTGTCCTGTGATATGCTGGGGACACTGCAGGTTACTCTCTCTTTTGGCAAAACATACCCCATTGAATCGATCTGCAAATAAAACCTTATTTAGTCATTTTCACTGATGTTTTCAATTTTGTGGGATCACTTTTAGTTGTTACAGAAATCTATTAAGAAGAGCCAGTTACTTCAGTCTATACTGTTTGTCAATCCAAACTCCATGTACATCCCACATGTGTCAAGACTTTGCAGTATGACTATAGAGTGTGTGTATAGATGTTTGGTTAAATCTGAAGTGCCAGGGAACAACAATGGAGATGAAAAGAGGTTTCTAAGAAATACCACTAGTCTGATGTTCTTACAATACCTACAGCAAATATTCTACTTCAAACAAATTCCTTTCCTTGTCATTATTTTCTTATGATTTTTGGTACCCCATACACTTTACTATATATGTCCCTCTCAGAACAAAGTAAGTAGTGACACTTCCAAGATATATTCCTAAACAAGGGCTTTTTAAAAATCTGTTGTTTATAGTTAAGATCTTAAATTGGTGCATACTCAGGCACTTAACATTGGCTTGAACACTTGCTGCTGTGTGCATGGAATTTTAAAATGTACAGATATAAAGTCAAAAGATAATGTTTTCATACATATACCCCAGACTAGTGTTAAGCAGTGTTTCAGAGAAGTGCAAACCCCAAAGTTCTTGATTATTCACTGCCTAGTGATTATTCAATAGCCTAGGCATATTTGGGCTGCAGACAAACTCTTAACTGTGCATCCAAAGTTTTCTGTATCCACTCTCATAGATCTGTATGACAGAGATGGCAGCAACTTTGCAAGTTGTTGTAGCGTAAACATAAACCACACACTGAAAATTTTCCCTAGTTTTAACATAACCCACTTTCCTTTTATACTATACAAGACACACATGAGAGTAAGGATTAGGAGACAAATTACTAATCTTGCCTCATGAGCCAGAAAACAAGATAATTAGTGATGGTGACAGAGTGCCAAAAGAGAACAGAGCTTGTATCAGTCTGAGTGGGTGAAAGGAAAGACTGTGACAGCATTGCTCGGGTGGCCTTGTGAGCAGTGCTTCAAACACAAAGTAGAGATTAAGCATATTTACTGGCAACTCTCTATAGCTCCGCTAACAATGCAGATGGAGCCACTGTGTTTTATCCATGCCAAAAACTGTCGATTGCTTGTTCTGTTTGGCTCAGTCTTACTCTTCTTGTGCTCTCCCTCCAAAACTCTGAAAGGTGCCTTAGAAAAAAAGCCAGGCTCCCTACCCACATTCTTGGCTCGCCAAAAGAAAAAAAAAAAGCACATGATGCTAGTTACATCATAAAGAACATCTGATGCAAACAAAGCTGTATTGATCTGGGGGTAATTTTTAATAAAATGGCTCTAGATTAAACTTTATTGCTCAATGTTTAGGGGCAATATTCTTGAATGGACTGAGAACAGGCTGGGAGCCAGAAATGCTGTCATTGATCCATGATGTGGCCTTCACCATTTAATCTCTGTAGAGCAGTGTCCTCAGTGGGAAGTGAGGATCAGCATGACCACTTGCATCATCCACCTGCCCATACCTCTGTCCCAGGGCAGAGGGGTGGAATTCTCCCTTAACATCAGCAGGCCAATGGCAGAAGAGTGGAGATCTCCTCCCCATGGAGGGGAGCCCAGGGACACCTCTGTCACCCTGCTGTGTGATGTAAACCACTGCAAGCTGCAGCAGTAGAGATGTTCTCAGGACAGGCTTTAGTACAGTACATCGTCTCCATCAGGCAGGCAGCCTTACAGATCAATTGTGTAAGCACAGCACCCTGATGTGTAAGGGTCCCTTGCTCCTTTTGGGGCTAATTCAAACACTTGAATTGACTTGGCATCAGTCACTTAGTTGTCTTTCAATAATTTCAGTATATTTTGCACCCTTTATGCAAGTCACTGTCTTGCCTGTTCTGCTGCATGAATGTTTACCAGTAACTTGGTATCTTACACCCACCATCAGTGAACCGTTCTACAAATTCTGATCCAGGTTAAAATAACTTAAGAGTTTACACACGTAACCCATAAACTTATATACTGCAGCTGTTATGTGATGTTCTGGACTTACTTTATAAGTGGGTACACTCTGTTCTTAAGGCTATTACTGCAGATAAATGGCAGATTTGATGTATTGAGAGAGGAAATCTTTAACAGTAGTTATCATCAGTATATCATTCTGAAGTACATGACTCTCAAAACATCACTCAAGACGTGTTTAGTTAATAAGAACTGTGAAAATTATTTTTTTACAGAAATCCTTGAAGATGAGGGGGACTTTGCCAACTCCACCCCAGTAGCTCTGGAAGCTACACAAGTGAAGAAGGAGACAATTGATATAGGTAAGTCAGGACTTTGTCATGATAGTTTTGATAGAACATTCTACTTTACTGGGCATTGCAGACTTCAAAGCTTCATATGTTATTCCAGCAAATTACACTAGTTGAACTTCTAGATTATGATAAATTATAGATTTTGTTTGATTTCATAGTGCAGGAATGTATGAACACTTATTTCTCCTTCCCATAATTATAACAAAATCTTATTTTCCCAGACAGCATGCTCCTTTTTATGATGAATATGATTAATCTGCATTTGATTGTGACATAAATACTTTTTTCTTACACAGTTTCCAGAAAGGATAAAATGGAAAGGTAAATAGCAGTCAAAGAAACTAAGAACATTTTATACCTTGTCTGTATTTTCAAGCTACTTCATGACTGCATTTAATATCAGATGATTTACTATCAAGCAATTTCCATATAAATATTCTGAACTATTATAAACATAAAACTGAAATCAGCAATATGTAGAAGTCATATATTCAGTAATAAGTGATCAGGACAAGATTTGTTTTGTTTAAAATATTAAAATTTAACATTAGAATGCAGTAGGGATATTAATATTCCAAAATAAATGAGTATAAAAACCATAGAAGATCATGAAAAAAAGACATCAGGGGAAATAACGATAGCATTGAAATTGAAATATAGTAATATATTATAGAATAGAAGAAAATAGAAGAATATAGTAACCTATATTGAAATATAGTGACTATTCTTTATAGTAATGCTATATAATAGTTTGTATGCAGAAGTTAATAGAGGAAAAAAATCAATTTTAATGATTTTGTGAACAGCAATTCTTTGGCCTTTGGCACTGTAAGTTTCTACCATAAGAATATTTCTGTTGGATGCATCAGGCATATTCCAGGCAAGAGCTTCCTTTCCAGCAATTATGTTATCTGTAGTTTGGATGTTGAGACACCCTATGCAACACACCCATTACAACTGTTTGCATTGGCTGATCTTGATCATGAAAGACAACTGTCGTGACTGTGACACTGAGGACAACATCAGAGCCATGCCACCACAACAATGACACACAGAAACACAAGTGACACTGAGGATAAAGTATATCTGTGACCCTGAAAGTTGAGACATAGCGAGGTCACACAAATGCAAAGTGAAGAATAAAATGTCATGCAGCTCAACAGACTGCCTCATACACACCAACTCCCTATCATGTAATATCCAATCGAACACAGTAATCATGCAAGTCAGCACTACGCAAGTGCCGTTGCCAAAGACAGGAAGAGATCAGAGAACCACTATGGTTGAGAGAGTGATTACAGAAATGGAAGCTATGGGGAGGTTGGTAACAGTTTAAGAAAAAAAACAGGAATTTCTTAGGAGCCTAGGAGTAGACCTACAGCTCTGTTTTGGCCCATTTCCAAGAGCTCCAAGTGTTAAGGAAGATTTAAGAATTTTCTCAAGAGTTACAGGGTGCCCATTTATGAGATGACCCACTTTTTTCTAGTATCCCAAATAAATCACACACACATGACGATGAGAGTATGATTTCCAAGTTTTCCACAGGTACAAAATATATTCTTGCACATGGTTTATGAAAAACAAGTATTTGCCAAATGACTGAAGAGAAAACAAGTTACTGAGCAAATATGAATTCCAAGTACTAGTTTGTGCATATATTGGAAAGAACCATTATAGAAAGCACATCAAATGAACATGTTTATTTACAAAGAATCACTGTTTCTGACAGAGCCTAAGTAAGCACTCAGTTTTTCAAAACATAAAAGGAATATTTACTTCTACCCTTTACCAAAACCAGTACTGAACATAGTCTATGACATCCCCTAGCAAACAATGAGAACTAATCTTTCTCTTCCTCCCAACCCAAAAAAGTAAGTCCACACAAAAGTGTCTCAGAGTAGTCCAAACACAAGCAAATTAACCCAGCAAATCTGGGTTTTGATGTTCATAGATTATTTCAAGAATTTCTCAGTAGACAGTGATGAAGTTGCAAATAAAAGCCTGAGGGCAATCAAGAGAGACTTCAGGGGCCTTGAAACTGGTTAAGGGATCAAGAGCACAAATAGTCTTGTCTTCTTCCAGTTGCAAGGAATAATGTGGGGAAAAAAACAGGAAGACCCAGCAGATCACTATCTGGCTTCAAGCTTAGTGATACTGGGAAGATACTGGTTTTTTTAATCATGGTTCCATGGCACCAGACTTGCTGACACCTATCTCAAAGGGGTGCGGGTGGGGAAGGATCTTAGCATAGAAGTTAACAGAACTCATCGAAAGAGCTGTAAACTAAATTTGCAGGTGGGAAGAGATAAACCCAGACTTAATAGAGAGCCTGGGGGCAACATGCAAATGTTTGAGAGATGCTGTTCTAGAGAGGTCCTTCGATCTGCTGTCTCAGTAGTCAGGGGATGGAGATCAGCCAACATAGAGGCGTAATTGATGTGTTAGAAACCACAGAAGCACCTGAGAATACAAAGAGCTTCTCACCCCCTAAAGATGGTGGGGCAAAAAGCCCAGCTGTGGCGCATCTAGTGCAGACAGCGTGGGAAACAAACAGGATGAGCTGGAAGCCACTGTGTACCAGGAAAACTGCTATAAGTTTCCATCTTGAAGACACAGAGGGATGACTTGCACAGCTGGAGTGCTGCAATGGATGACTGTAAACTTTGCAGAAATGACAAGCAAGGAAGGAGAGACTGTGGGCTACTCTGTATGTTAGAGAGTATGTTAGAGTGTTTTGATTGTCTAGAGCTCACGATGGTGACAGTAGGGTTGAGGATGTAGGGGTAAGAATCAGGAGAAGTCAACAAGACAGGTATCCTGGTGGGAATCTGTTAAAGACCACCCACCCAGGGCAAAGAGGCAGCTGAAATATTTTATAAGCAGCTGGGAGAAGTCTCACAGTTGCTGGCCCTTGGGGGTGAACTTCAGGTTACCAGATGTCTGCTGGAAACACAACACAGTAGAGGACACAGCCTAGGAGGTTCCTGGAGTGTGTGGCTGACAACTGCCTGACACAGCTGGTGAAGGAGCCAGCTAGGGAAGGGACCCACTGGACCTGGTGCTTGTGAATAGGAGACTGGTGGTGCCTGGAGCCTCTTGGCCACAGTAGTCACAAAATGGTAGTGTTTTTAGTTCTTGGTGAAGTAAGGAGGGAGGTCATCAGAACTGTCACCTTGGACTTGGGCAATGGCAGAGCCACTGTCCCTGGAGGGATTTAAATGACATGTAGCTATGGCATTTAGGGACATAGTTTATTGGTGGACTTGGTAATGCCAAGTCCATCCTAAATTATTAGTATTAGTGCTTCCATCCTAAATGATTCCATGAATCTGTGATTCTTCTAGTCTATAACTAATGGGCTAGACTGAGGGCTTAGGACACTTTTAGGTGGGAATAGGTGGCTCCTACAGAGGATGACAGTAATACTAGCAATTTATTTGTCTAAATCCAAGTCTATTTAAAAAAAAATTCTTTGTGTGTTTCTATAGATGATGATTCTATAAGCACTACCTCAGAAGACAGATCTTGTACACCAGTAGCAAAACGGATGGTTGGGACAGGTGAGTATTAACTTGCATTTATTTATGAAATAAATCACATTGTAATTTCAGTACCAAAGCTGGAGCAATCAGATCTCTACTGTAAACATAGCTCTACTTTTCTACACCTGATTCCATTCTAGCTTTGTTAGCAAACTTAAAAGTTAGTTTCATATCTCTTTTTCTTTGATGAGCAAAACTTATATTAATACTGTAGTTCAACTTTTCCTCCCATACATATCTAATGAGCAGCATCTGCCTACATCTGACTATTTTTGAGTCTGAAGATTTTTCTTCTTCTGTTGAATCCCGAGTAGCCTTTTCATTTGCATGTTGCCATTTTAATTTGAAATCACACTTCTCACCAATGCTGAGATCGGAAAAGCTTAAAGATTACTGCTTTCCTACATGTAACGCTTGGATACATCTGTCTTTAATTTCACAACAGTGGCACAATTATTGTGACAGAATGTTGAATTTTAGATGCCTTGGAGAAACATGAGATTCTACTTGCTATGTATTTTGAATACTTAAGAGGAAACAATGGTGTATGGATACTAAAATTATAAAGTTAAAAGATTATTAGTTGTAATTATGCTTTCATATATGTATATTTAGCATGTATTTATAGCATTTACAGTTAGGTTTTTTTATTTATATTTTCAGACAATCACATTCCCTTGGAAGAAGCACAAAATCACTTTAAAGTTATTACAGTTAACGATACTGGAGCAGGAAAACACTGGAGTGATAATGAAGTTAGGGCTCTGATAAACATATGGTCAGATGAAAAGATACAACAGATGCTTGAAGGGGCCACAAGAAATAAAGAAATATTTGAGGAAATTGCCAGAAGGTTAATGAAACGTGGTATAGACAGAGACTGGAAACAATGTCGCACAAAGTACAAGAACTTGAAATATGAATACCGTGCACTGCAGAAAGAAAATGAGCACCTTGGAAATCCCAAAAGAAAAATGAGATTTTATGATGAAGTTGACTGTATCTTAAGAAGACAGCCTCTCGGAACCTCAGGCTGGGGATGTGAAAGCTCAAGTCCCCTATCAGGTAATAAAAACTTCAGTGATGAGATAAAGTGCTTTAAGTGAACTTTCTAAAGCTGCCTGTTTGAGCCATGCTGTAGATGTGAAATGTGTGGCCAGAAATGGGGAGAGAAAATAACTGGGGAAGCCGTATCTGAATGGTCTCATAGGGAACAACTCAAGTGGTCTATGGGGACACGTAGAAGTGAGAATATTAGCAAAAAGTGAAAGGACCAAAGCGTTCTGTGTTATTGGAGAATCTTTGCTTTGGAAAGCCTAAATGAAATACAGTGAAATGGTGCTAGGACACATAGCAGGTTTTAGGAGTCATGCAGCAGACTTGGAAAGTCTGATGAATAGAGAGCTGTCAGCTCATGCCATTTGGAACTGCAGAAATCAGTAGCAATCACGCCAAGTGCAAGGACTCCAAAAACCCCGAACAATATTAATTCAATACACACTGCAGTCAAGAGAGAGAAAAATCCAGGGCAGTGATTTTTATTTGAACACTTGTAATAATTGTATTAATTCTGTATAAAATTCAGTTTTCAAAATATAGCTTGCTTCTTAGTATCAGAAACTCTCTGATCTAGGAACCACAGAGTGTCTGCTGTAAGGGTTCTTGTAACTGGCCAACTGCTTCAGACTTCAGGGGCACCTTCCCCTGCTCCAGGCAGATTAGGTGCTCTTGTAGAACTAACTGAACCTCTGCAACTTATGCTTCAGGTAAAGCAGAACTAATTTTGATTGTTCTCAATATGTTAGATAATAGTTTGCAACAGCACAAATGTTAGTTGAGGACTTGAACCATTTCTGCAGAAAGGCCAGATGGACGGCTTGATCAGAAACTGCTGGGACCAGGCTGCTGTCCTGAGCTGTGAATCTGAGCCCTAATGTGGTGTCCAAAGGCACCACTCAGTACTGTGTGAGTTGCAGCTGGAATGACATCCATAGAGCTGTGGGATGACAGTTCTCCCCTGCCTCAGTCTTGTGCTTAATCCCATTCTCAAGACATGTATTTTCTTCCAAATACAGAAACTGAATCTATTACTGCTCATTTCTACTCTCCATGAATGGGATATGTCAACACCAAGAATGTTGTCAACACCAACAACCAACCTGTCTTTTTACATTTTAACATGCTGGAAAACGACTATGTAGTCTGTGAATGCTGATGCAGTGGCCAGTAAAGCAATAAAATTCCAGAAAAGAAGCTTATTTTCTTATTTTTCAGTTATTAATCTGTTTGAGGCATCTGTGAAAAAAATGTGTCTTGTACTAGGCTATTTGCTTTTGTATTTGGTGTGTGACTGACTGTGCCTTGAGAATCTCAACAAAACATTTAGTCACCTTGTTTTCCTCTTCTAAGTTTCAGTGGCAGATGCTGCAGCAAACACGGGATCTTTGAGTATCAAGAGGAAAACATGGAATGATGGTAAGAGCCCCTGACTTTTATAAGCATTTATACACTTCTGTTGAACTGGATGCCAGATTCATATATTCAGTACTCAAACAGTTAAAAAATCATAATCCTAGAATTTAACACCAAGCTCTGAACAAACATTCTTTTCTCACCCACAACAATTGGTAAAAGAAGAGTTCTGATAAAAATGCAGGCCTAAGGAAAACTGTAATTTATTTATTTCAGTCCTCATCCCTGGTATAAATGAGGTAAACATCATATGCAAAAAAAATACAGTATTTAAAACCCAAGATGTTTCAATTGTGTTGCTTAAGGGAAAGTAGGGACAGGCACAGTCATGGATGTTATTTCTTCATATTACACTACTGTGTCTGTAAACATGTCTAATGTGTTGTACACAAGAAAACGGGCTAAGACAGCTGTGTCAAAGACAAGATAGAATAGAGAATCATGGAGAGAGAAAAATGATGGGAAGGATAGAAATATGTGGCACGTGATATGATATGGGGAAGGTCAGAATCTCATTTTTCTTTCTGACAGGCCCTAAATAAAAAGAAAATCCAATAATGAGTAACAAAAAACTTAGTTTTAAGGGTCTCACCACTATCTTTAACACCAAAATTATATTCACAGACAGATGAAGATAAATGATCTGAACATTACATTTTTTATTTCAACCCGTTTAGTTCACCACCACAAACTATACTAACATTGTAACTACATAAACACAATACTAACATTGTATTTAATCACTCTGTGTGGTTAAACAGACTTTCATTTATTGCCTATTATGTAAGTACCTCTTGAAGAGGGCTGTAGCTAGGCAAAACTGAAAGTTTGAGATAGATTTTTACAGGGTCTGCAGCATTCCTACTCTCCATTATACAATGATCCCTTATACAACACCAGGCAACACCAGCCAAAAGAAAAGATCAGAAGAACAGCTTTAGGAAAATCCAGCATGTGCTAAACTTCAGTGTCAGCAGTTCATTGACTTGTGCACTCTAACCACGTACTTTGCTTTTGTCCACAGAAGTGTCACCTGTTCCACTGAAGAAAAGTGCTTCTGAAAACACCATATTCCACTTCCAAAAACTGTTAACAGAGAGAGTGCATACAGTAACAGAAGGCAAAAAGTTACTGTTTGAAAGGCTTTGTAAGCAGGAAGAAATGCAAGACCTCAACAGAACACAGCTGTATGCTGATCCATCAGCCATACAACAGGTTGGTTTTGTGAACTTTCTATGAAATTAACGTGCAAATAGATTCTGTCAGGTAGTATGAAATGAATTATTTAAGAGTGTAAGTTACCCACATGAGTACATGCTTGCTTCCCTTTAATATAGTCACCTTCAGTCATTTAAACTAAAATAAGGTGTGAGTTTCCAGCATAATCCTTAACTATGAGTTTTTAGCAGTGGTGTCAGTTAGTGGAATAAAAAATATTACCTCTGCCTATATATCTTGATTCACCTACATGCCACAATTAACAGCCTTAATTGAAAGAAAATAATACTTTAAGTGATCAAAGAAAACAAGTATGGTTAAAATTTCACCCCATCATTTCCAATTACCATCTCCAGGGTCTTCTTAACAAGTTAGTCCTCTGCAACTAACCAAATAGTTGAAGCCATAGGACTTTTTGATTAGGCAGGGCTGGTGGGGAAAACACTCTTACCTCCTTAACCAGCATTTACCCTCCTCCTACCCTCTCCCCCTGCTTATGTTGGTGTGGGGGAATGTCCCCCTGTGCCTGCTGAAGGCTTGCAGCAATGTGCAGCACTGAACTGGAGAATTCAGTGAGCCAGAAAGAAAGTACACAGAATTGATGCCTGCATAGAAGGGGCAGGCATTAGTTATGGTCCCTGTTCTGTAGTGGCCAAGGGGTCTGTTATGTCCAGTAATCTACCGAGAACATAGAAACAGTGCAGGGAACAACAACATGCTAAGAGACAAATGCCACATTATAACTGTTATTCTGCAAAATCCTACTAGCCACTACTTCATTTTGTGGTTGTGCAAGTACTTTCTGCTCTGTATTACATTTGCAAGGTTTTTCCTGCAGTGTACTCCAGCAAAACGACTTTCTGGATCTGTCATGTTTGGGCATAGACCTACACAGCCCTGCCAAAGCCAGGTCAGTAATGGGCACATACAAAGGCACAACTCAAGTCAAACACTCAAGGCCTTATTACAGCAACAGTCACCACGTTTATTTACATACAGAGGCCCAAATTCCAGCCAAGTCCCTCTTTAAAACTTTACATAAAAATATTACTGGATATAATGTGATATGTATAATTTCCTGCTCTATGCTTAAGTATTTCCTTGTCAATTCTTTTATGAGAGACATTATGAAGGTAAATACTTTCCACCAAGGTGGATTTAATCTGCCATTTGACTAGCATTTTTAAAACAATTCTGAGAAGTCAGGACAGAGATCCCTAGAAAATAATGGTATTTTGATCAGTTATACAGTGATATGGATACATAGTTTTTACAGCATATGCTTATCTACCACTTTTCACATTTTACACTGATTTCTCAGTATAAACCTTTGGTTTGTAATACTGTCACCAAAACTATCATTCCTAGCAATACTAGTATCATCATTGGTTTAAAAATCTTTCTTCTCTCTCTCTCTTTCCAATGAATTGGTTCAAAGGTACATCCTTGAACTTGTGTTGTATTATTTGCATACAGAGGTGTTGTCTTTGGAAGGAGGACAAGTTTTGCCCCTGCCATCACAGCAGTCAGGTATCCCTACAGAACATGCTGAGTCAGCTGAAGACCTCACCATTCCCACACTACTAAAATCACAGGTTACTCCTTCCACATATGAACCAGAAAAACGTGTGATCCAACCCTAATTCACACCAGTACATTTAAAAGTTTAGTTCAGTTATGATTTAAACTATTTGAAGTAACTGTACTGAAAATAATATGGGTAACGTACATGTTTTGCTTTACCTTCTCTGTTTCATGAGTGCATGGCTGAAATTGACTTGATAACTCATTTCAACAAGAAGTTCCCCTTTTCTCCATGCTACTCTGAGTAACCTAGTTCTTGCTGGATGCCCTATAAACCAGTTCATCTCACTAACCTCGGACAAGACTAGCCCATCTAGTATGAAAAGACCCTGAATGGTTTTCTGTGTGAGTTGAAGTAGCTCAACAAGTTCCCAGATGTGTCAGGACTAACTCTGAACAGCTGAAAAGTTATTTTTGTTGCAGTGTGCATGAGGAAAACAGCTAGCACTCTAGAGATGATAATCTGTCACTTTAAATTCTGCATGATACACAAGGATCCAAATCTTTCCAAACCTAACTGCCATTCAGTGCAATAGCCCAAAAAAAACCCTTTACTTCCTTCCATCAAATAAAGAATAAAAAACTTTTAATTCATTAAAATCACCAGACCTTTCAAGAATATGTATCTATGCTGATATTCAGGTGAGAACAACACAACAGCATTGAGGCAAACAACTTGCTGAATACTTAGCAGGTCAGAGCAGAGAATTGCAGAGCACACTTGCATTCTTCACTTGGAAATTGTTCATGTCAACACTAGGTGGTAGACATGAAGCAAGAACTGATAGAAAAAAAGGAACACAAGTGTGTTTACTTTTCAAGTAAAGGGTTTTTTTCCTCAGAGAACTTTTCAGAGAGCAGGATTTATCTAACAAATGTTCAAAGAATGTGGACTTCCCTTTGTGTGGGATTCCTCTTCTATCCTGCTTTGTGACTGCAAAGCATAGCTTGCTTTTTAAAATGTTTTGTCAGAAAGTTGTCTTCTGCCCTGCTGTTCATTCATTGTCAATCAAAGATGGTAAGAGATGTCAGGTGCAAGATGGGCCATTTGGCATTATCTGATATTTGTGTGCTACTCCCATTTATACAGATAACAAATAATTTACTTGAGACAGATAAAGTGATATGAAGACAACCTTTCTTCACTGTGGTTGTAGTTATGATTCCATGTAACTTTTTGCTTAGAGACAAAATTAACAGGAATATTGCATGTTTAGAATTCTGGTTGTTTAGAGCTATGATCTGTCTCCTTTGGACAGCATCCCTAGGGGTAGTGACAGTGTGCTAAATAGAATGTTGCTAGGCCAAAGGATTTCTCAAAACAGTCCCTTCAGAAATTGTATTGGTTAATCCAACTCATCCTTCCAGTGTATTTTTATATCCACTTAAGCTTTTGCTGTGGCTCTGTCTGTAATCACAGCTATACATTTATTACAGTCACAAAATATTCAGTCCAGACACACAGGCCAGTGACATGGAACACGGGACACCATCTGACATATGCTAAATGGTTTTGTATAGGGAACTACCACAGGACTGCGGTGGTTTGGGAGAAGAGCCTTTCTTAGACCTAGATCCTCAACAGACAACACAAGAGCCAGACCAAGTCATCATGTCCATGTAACTAATCCTGGGAATCTTAACATAAATTACATCATGAAAACGTTCCAGCTTGATAATCAAAACCAAGTAATGATGGCAAGAGCATCAATCATACAAATAACAGAGTTGTTTTTTTTTTCTCCCTCCTCAAATATCTGCATTATTGCCAGAGGGCCATTAAGATTAGTATGAGGACAAATCTGTCTCCTTCCCAGTTTGCAAATAGCAGTACTGAGATCTTTGAGTTGTAGCAGACAAATGGAACTATTACCACTCTGACCTGCATTAAAAAGCTTCATTTTTCTCTAAAGCACACTCATTCACTAAGATGAATGGGTCACTTCACACATCTTTGATAGCGCTGTTATTCTGTAAAGTCCTCTGAATGCCTTTTTAGGTTATTGTAGAAACTGTTTGGACCAAAGGCTTTGAGAATGAGCTTCAGGAAGGAGAAATGCTTGCAATGATGGTGGATCCACAAGCACTATCTGCATAATTGGCTTTAAAGACTGCCTTCAGAATCATCCTTTGTTTCTTACCAGCTGGGTCTCCTTTGAATTGGCACAAGTATCCATATGGCCAAGTGGCTAAACAACTGATTTACATTAAGACTAATCTAATAAAAAGCCCCTCCAAACAACCCTGCTTTTTTTTTAGTTCCCCCCCAAGGGAATGGTAATGCAAGACATAGCAGATAGTGAAGCCAGGAGAATTTATATGAACTGCACTACCCAGTGGTAACACAGGTTACTGCACACAACCTTCCCTCCATGCATGAGGCTCAAATTTAAGGTATGGGCAGACAAGCCAACCGAGCAATCCTATGAAAATTACGGGAGAGCTTTATAATGCCTACATGGAAGACTTACTTACAGTCAAAGTGAAGAAGAATGAACAGTCTCACCCCAGCTCTCTAGCTAGGTTAATGTAATAGGAAGTCTGTTGGCCACAATAAATATAACTGCCTCAGAAATGTCCTCTGGGATCTCTTGTTTGCCACAATTTCCCTCCTGTTTTTCCCAGTCCTTCTTACATGATATCATTCCAGCTGGTTACTCCACATTCAGAGATAAGAGCTTAGACTGAACTACATTTTGTGACATGTACATTGACGAGACCTCAACTTGGTTAGGATGAAATCTGGCTTTTCTTCACTTTCCCAAAAATGAGTGTGTAGGAACCCAAGCCCTGCAGGATGTTATGTAAAACTACCTAGCAGATGGAAGAGCTCACCACAGCAAAAAGGCCCTGCTCCTCCTCTCTTCTTGCAGGAAAATCTTTGCAGAATGTTAAGCCAGGCTGTCATCACCTGCAGCACAAAATGGCCTAAAACTTGAACCAAGACAGAACTAAAAGAAGGGTTTCCTCATCTACATTCTGTGTGTGAATGCTCTCAGGAATATTTTACCAGCATATAGAGCATGAATGTTCTCATAAAATAGCATACAGACTCAGTACCTAACCAGGAAAACATCGGACCCTGTATATTCCTTATGGAATTTACATATAAATATGACTAATTACAAAATTTGCTTTTAGACAATTGAGACATTTGACACTGCACTTCTTGCACCTGGGAGTGAGGGATATGTTGAACTCATACTACATTCTTGAGATGAAACTAAAAGATAAATATGCACCAAATTATCAGGATCATTACCTGTAGTATGTCTCAGTTCCTCAGAAAATTCCCATCCAAATACTATTATAATTTTAAGCTTTTTGATTGAAAGATTCACAGTATAAGTCACAATACCAACGGCTTGCTAAATAGCCTTTAAAAGAAACCCCTATCTTGTAGCCAAGATGTTGTATATAAAATATAGATAAACACTTTTATTATGTTATATTGAAAGCAGGTATTTGGAGGGATGGCTAATGGGAAGCAACCAGCGACTTTACTAGACTGAAAGAGAAGTGTCTTAACTCACACTGGTGATGATCTGTTATATGGGTTTTAATAATGGACAATAACAGGAAAGGTATCTAAAAGCACACTGGCCAAGCCTCCAATGATTACAAGTTCCATACACAGGCCCACCTTAGACAAGGAATATTCCAACTTAACAGCACTTCCACCTTCATAGAAGAGGGCTTTTAAAGACTTGTTCTAAAAATGAGTACAAAGCTGGTAGGTACACTCAGGTTTCAGTACATAGTATTACTGCCAAGAATATTTTCCAAAGAATTTTGCAAAAAGTTAACAGAAATCACACTTCCTTGAAGATTAACTTTGCAAATTTGTCCTGGTCAAGGACTCAAATGACGTCTAATAGATTTGTAATTCAGAGTAACTCCTCCCTCCCTCACCGCCCCCAAGAAAATCCTCTCCTTAG